ATTTATATATGACTGTATTTTAAATTAATATTAAAAAAACATCTCAGTGTTCACCAATTTTGTTATAGGTTTACGACAGATACTTAAAATTCTGTATTATTATATGTGTTTTACATTTATGCCTATTTATTATCAGGTATGTTATAGCTGTGGCCTGTTACTTAGAATACACATATGTAATAACTAATAATGTATGGTTCTACATGAACAGTTTTACTTTCATATTATAACTATAGAAGATGTACGTATTTAAATTAGTAAAGCATTTAATTATTGTGTCCAATATTTTAAAGATTAATTTACCATTAAAATGACTACTTAATTTATTATATTCATGTTTTTAATCAAGCGTGATCATTGAATGTTATGCAGATATTATTAATATTGCAATATTGCAATGCATACATTTACTCATTTATTTTACGAATATTTAACATATTTCAAGTATATAATATCGAAACAGTAAAACAGTGTATTAAGGACGTTCATTCTTTTTTTTTAAAGTTATAAAATTCACTAACTTATTGAATAATTAAACACTAAAAATATATCGTAAATTATACATTTCATATATTTTCTAACTGAGTTTTAATGTAATATTCAATATATTATTAAGGTTTATGTAGTTTATGACCAACAAGTTATAAATTATAAAAAGATAGTTTTTAATTTTTTAAATCGACCAACCTTAATAAATTGTAATCTAATACTTAACATAGTTATACAATTTTCTAACTGTACCATATGTATTTAATTTTTTTTTTTTCAATAAAACTTATGTATTATGGTTTTTCTTTTCATTTATATATACGTTTAGTTTATTTCTATTTTTTTTTTGAAATTATAAAATGTTTGAATTAATGTTAAAAAAAATAAATACTCGAATTCCGTAAATATAATTAATATTAGGTTTAAAATGCTTATGATATCTTTTAAACACAACCCACAGTTATCTTATAAATATCAGTATACACGAATAATTTATAGCAGTAGTAGGTATATGTACCATCATTACTCATTTCAATTTTTTTTTTTTTTTGCAACAAGTCTTATTACCTACGTAATTCAATATTTATTTATAATTTTTAGTACATAAATTTAAATTATTTGTGTATCTTAAGAGTTGAAATAATAAAAAAAAAATGTATGAAAACATATATTTTCCTCCATACTACATGGTATGAATATTTTTAACAAACCGTGTGAATCTTATTCATAGGTAGTCAAAAATATATTTTAATGTAATATATCTAGTATGTGCATATTATAAGCATGACAAAGACATGTCTTCACACTTATCTTCAGAATTATAATTCGATTTTCATGTCGTTCTTAAGTATTAACAGTCTCAACCAGTAATCAAATCATGTTACTTTTGTATTTAAACAGGATTCCGCTATGTCACATAACCTTGATTAAAGGTATTTTTATCATTGTCTGGACTGGTTTTATTGAAGTGAAGTGTTAAAAAAAAACCTTTACACCCGGACACTTATATCAAATCCAAACAATTGACTTAAGATTTGTATAGTAAATAATAAGCATACTCATTGAAATATAATTACCAAAAAATGTTTAGTATTTTGATCTTAATTAAATGTAGTATGATTTCATGTAAATACCAAACAGATTGAAAATTATTATTAGGGTTAAAGAATTCTAATTTTTTTACATTTGTTAAAAAAAAAGGTTGCAGAATAATCTGAGTGTATATTGATATGTTTTATAATACTGGAAAGCTATATTTAAAATTTTACTTTGCTAATTTCATTACTACTTCAAATAAATACATATTTGAGTAGTTACTTAGATTAAAAAAATTAAGGACATATTTTGCAATTTTTGAATAGTACAGCTGAAATAATATCAAATGAGTTTCAGTAAACAATAATTGTTTGGCATAATAATTTTATACTGTAACATTGTACCTAATTGAGCTGATATGACTTAACTGCCGCAGCACGTATATTACACGCAACGCGAGTAAGAAATCATGTTTAGTTAACTGTCAAAATATTTCGTCACAAAATTATCATGCGCACCCATAAAGTAGATTCGTTATGTGTACTACGATTTACTATGTAAACAACAAAAAAAAAATTTTTCCAGTTGTTATTTAACGAACTTTTTAAAATGATAATTTATCATAGTTTTATTTCAAGTATTGGACATTGAATATATTTGTTTAAAATTTATATTTTTAAATGCATAAGTACATTTATAGTTTGGGATTTTTATATCCTCACTCCTAGACTTAATATTATTGACATCGTATAGTTCAAAGTTTAGTATTTCAAAATAAATATATTTAGTATGAAAAATAATAATATAACTATAATTTGTGTAATATATTATCTTAAATATAGTACTAAAAGCCATGTAAATAATATGTTGTAAAAGTTACGGAACAAATTATTTGAACAACAATTTTATTGATAACCAGTTACAAATTCATGATTTTTTTTTTATTTGTTGTCTTCAGTTATAATTGCATAAAACAAGATTTTTTGCTTAAAATTTAAATATATTATGTAAAATCAATAATATTAAGTAATTTTAAATATCTATTAATATATTTAATAATATTTTGAAAATTTTTAAATTAAAATCCTTTTTTGGAATTTAAATTGTAAAAAATAAAAACAGTGTGAGTAAGACATTAACATAATATATTTGGAAATTGTAAGAAATAAACTGATAAAAACAATTTAAAGAATTAAAATTTTCTTAGCTATTTGCAAATTATAATAAATTTTATGATTTATTCAAATATTTAGTACTTGTTGAAGAACATAATATAATTTTATATGTGTTAACTGTTAGGTGAGTAAAGTTATTTAATAAAAGTACTTATAACTTAGTCGAGTAAAAATGTGAAATATAAGTATAATATATTTTGATATTTAGTATCTTACATAACATATCTTTACAAAGATGTACATTAAACATGCATCCACTCACCAGTACTCTATAATTACAACCCTTAACAGACGTCAAACTGCTGAAGTATATTTATATTTTTTATCAAATGTTTTATTGACGCTGTAATATATAGGTAATCATAAAATCTTGTGTAAGAATTTCAAGAATTTACCATTTTTAGATTCTAATTTTTGTGTAATGAATACTTTAATTATAATAATTCATTATTGTTGGGTTGCATAAATAATTACTAAATATTTAATGAATACATTTTGCTAATGGTTTCTTAAACATGAAATAGCATAACTATCTAATTCAATTTTAGTGAATCATAAAATAAAAATATATTTTAGCAATTATACATAAGTTTTATTTTTTTTAATGTCAAAAACGTTCCGTCAAATATATCTTATACGCATTTAAAAAAAAAAAATCATAATTTTTATGAAGTAAATAAACATGTTATAAAACAAAATGGCTTTTGGATTACAAATTAACATTTTTATCAATATCCAGTAGGTGATGTCAACTATTTATAATATAGCAATATAGATTTAAAATTTTAAATAATAATAATACACCATCATAGGTACACTTTTGTTTTATGTTTTATGTTTATATTAAACTTATGATATTAGTTATTTAGTATAAATGCAAAGTTTTTCCAATTGTTATATATTTATAAGTTATAAATTACAAAGTTGTACGTTATTAAAGAAATATCTGTTTTTTAAACAATTTTTAAGTAATTTATTAAATTTATATTAGCGATACATCACCAATATAATACGTTTAATGAAGAGTTTAAATATGCATGTTTTATTTTTGATGGCGTGTTAAAGTATAAAATTAAAATTAAAATTATAATACTTACTATTACTGTTAGTCTATATTATTCAGGGTGTATCGTATGTCGTTGTACGCGGTATTTTTTAACGATTATGGATGTTCATTAGATAATGTATTTCCCAAGTTTTTGTGTCTGATAAAATTTTCGATTCAAGTTTATAAATAGATATAGAATTTTATGAAAAGATAGATAAAAAAATTTATTTAGCTCTAGAAATAGGTACGATTCATTTAAATCAATTTGTTAGAATTTAGGGTCCCCATAGTAAATAAACCAGTGAACCAAAATGTATGATTTTAACATTAATTTTTTTTTAAGTTTTATAAGAATCCGTTAAAAAATATAGTTGTTGCCATTTGAAAAAAAAAGTTGTTTTTGATGCTGTTACAACTGTTTGCTTAAAAATTTTAAAATTGTTATAAAAATAATGGAGGTTCAAAAAAAGATACACGCCTTTTTTTCTTTCTTTAAATTGTACGTTATCGATTCATAATCGTTAAAAAAACCCCGCGTACAACGATATAAGATACACTCTGTATAATGTGAATTTAATATAATACTATAATACATATAAGTATATTATATACAACTTTAACGGTAACACGTTTTATTTGTACGTGTACAAATTTTATATTTTTTGAGTAGAACACAATGTTGAATCGAGTATGGGATATCCATATAAAATTTCTTTTAAATCAGACAAAAAAATTAACTTGGAACCTATCCAGTTCCTTTTACGTTTCCATAACGATTCTTGATCATTGTTATCATTATTAAGACTCATCACAAAATTCATAATATTTTAACTTAATTATATTTATGTGGAATAGACCAATTTTACATATAATTTCTGTGGATATAAAACATTTTTCTTATTCTTCTTTATATAATTGATATTTTAAATCGTTTATGGCGTAACATCGAAAATAGCCATCGATTTTGAAGTCTAATAATAATAATGGAAAAAAAAAATTATAAATACCAGTTCCACCTTTATGTCTGGAGTGTAATAACATTAAAAAAAAATCGCAAACCGGTCTTCTTCATCCAATAATCTACAAATCTACATATATATGTGTATACTGTATATGCACTGAACAAAACGTGTATAAAAAAATCAAATAATTTATTCGCTAAAAAAAAAGGGAGACACTTTATTCTTTTTCAAATGTCAAGTTCAAGGTATTTTGCATGAACCTGCGCCAAAATATTAGTATATATACCTCATTGGGATGCTCATTCTGCATCAGTTGTGTCATCTGTCCACATCCCAACACACGGCAATTTTCTGATCACAGTAAACGTTCGAAAAAATCATCATGCAATTCTTGGTGAGTAAAATAGTATATTTTTAAATCTTTGTATAAGAAACTCAGTGAATAGTAATAATTTGTTAAAGTTTCTTTAAAACGTCCTGTGTTGTAGTTTTAATTAAAAAAAAAAAAAAAAATTTAAATAAAATAATGACTAAAATAATTTTTTGATTTTTAAAAACACTCATACGTATGTATTTTACTAAAATTATACATTTGTACTTTTGCATTTTATTTATCTTCTTATTGTATGATACTTGCTTTAAATTCAATCATATAAGTAAATCGTATAAAAAAATACTTATACATGTAAACATATACATTTTTAAATCATGACTTAAATTAATAAAACTATAAGACAAATTTAAATTTAACTAAGAATTTTTTAACTTAAGTTATTATTACTGTAAAAGTAATATACATTCTAATACGAGTATTATAATAATTTAGTCCTGATTTTTTTTGTTTTTACTTTAAATTTTACCAAAAATTGTTTGATTACACAAAATTCATTAGATATATTAATAACTTAAGTTTTAGGTAAGCTCATAAAAAATTGTACTTGCATTTTAAACAAATATGTATTTTTAGTTACATTTTAAAATCAATATTACATCTATAAAAATTTTTACGTTATAACCAAATCGCAATAATTATTTGTAAAAATCCGACTTCAGTGCTTTTGTAAACGAAATTTAATTTTTGTACCTATGTCTTTAGGTAGTGTTAGTAGCTGTTGTCGCAGCGGTTGCTGCGGCTCCACCTAAGGAAGCTGTCAAAGCTTTCCCTTACAGTGGATTCCCAGTCAACCAGGCTTACTACCCAGGTCAACAAGCATACTACCCAGGATACCAAGGTTACCAAGGTTACAACTTCGGATTCCGTAACGGATACTACCCAGGACAACAATCGTACTACCCAGGACAACAATCGTACTACCCAGGATACCAAGCCGGTTACCAAGGTTACTATCCAGGATACCAATTCGGTTACCCAGGTTTGATTTCGTTTACTATTTTTTTTATCTAAATCACAAAGTCACACATTTTCAAAAATGTTTGTATATTACTATTTTCCACAGGTTACAACCGTGGTTACTACCCAGGCGCCCCTGCTGTCTACCCAACTGTCAGTGCCGTCACTCCGGCCCCAATCATCGCACCTGTGCCAATTGCCCCAAAAGTTGTTTCACCAGTATACAAACCAGTAGACAACAAATTGCCAGCTATTGTTAGACAATCGCAGGAATCGAACGTTGATGGTAACTTCAAATACGGGTTAGTATTATAATATGATATTTGATCAGATTTCTGCAACAATTCAAATGGTGAATTAAATCGAGAAATACAAACGCGCCACTCGTCATAAACTTAAAAAAAAATTGTTTTTAAATGAGATATATTTGCGTGCATTTCAGATATGAAACCGAGAACGGTATTGTCGCACAGGCTGCCGGATACGTGAAGAACGCTGGTTCTGAAAACGCCGTTCAAGTTATTGAAGGTTCTTATGCTTATGTCGGTGATGACGGTGCTCCAGTTGAAGTCAAGTACTACGCCGATGAGACCGGTTACCACGCATCTGGAAACGTCGTCCCAACCATCCCCTCAGAAATTGCCAAGTCTTTGGAATTTATTGCTTCCCAGCCACAGAAACCAGAAGACTCCAAAAAGAAGTAAACATAGCCTGCATTAATCATTTATGCTGGCACGGCTCAAACACGTATACCATTAGCTATTAGACACTGCGTGCAAAATACGCACATTTTTTATCATTGCAAATATTGTGTTTGCAGTGATTTTCTTTATTCGTATTTGAATGACGAATAAGGATAAATTTACTGTACACAATTCAGTTATGTTGGATGTAACAAAAAAACATAAAATATAAAAACTTGAAGTTAAATTTCGTGTAGTTTTTTTTTTATTCCACTTCTTTATTAAGTAAAAACTTAATGTCCATCTGCATGCAGTGGCGTGGTGAACTGAATCTATTCCATAGGCAATAAATATAGCCCGAGAACCCATCTCCTTATTACTATAAACGCAAATAGGGTTGAGGAGGAGGTGACTTAAAAAAAAAAAAATCTTATAGACGTATTATTATAAAAACATTATTGTTGATGTATAAGATTATATTATATTGTATGATAAGAAATTAGCAGGTGCATAATCTATTCGCGAATCGCGACCCTTCCCTCCCTTATATGTTTAAATGTTTATAGTATCTTGGTTTCAAATGACCGAATTTTTAGGATTGGCTATATTTATGTATTATTATATTAAAGTTTAAATTTACAATAATAATTTTGAGTATAGAGTAATAAAGTATACAAACAAATTAAAAATAACTACTAATTTTAATAATATTTTGTATTAGCGCTATTATGATTTTATTAGTACCTATTATTGTTATTGACCTCATTAGAGTTAAAATAAATTTGAAATAAATAAATTTTTATAATTCCATTACTACGAATTTTAAATTATTATCTAGAAAATTTAGAAGATATATTATTATTTACTAGCTATACTTATGCACTTTGTTTGCTAGTAAAATGACACCTCTTATATGATTCAAATGTTGTTTAATTCGTTTTATTTTAATATTCGTAATTCACAGGTAGCATAGCTTTCCTTTTATACCTTTATAGCTGTTTCCGTATACTTCATTGTTCGTGAAAAATATAACACCTCATATAGAGGATATTTTAAAACTTATTTCATCATTAACTGATATTGCGAATATTGTTGACCCCAAACCTATATCTCCCGCCTGTGCTAAATCTAACTGGTAGTTCCAAAGATTGGAGCATTCAAACAAACAAATTCTTCAGCTTTATTATGTAAGTACAGAGTAATATTATTTTTATGATTTTAATGTACTAGTTTAGTCTAATATTTTTTTGAAGAGTGTACTCATATGAATTATGAGTACTTATAAAATTTGAATAATAAATCAAAAGTATTTGTGAAATATTATTATGATGTTTGTATTACTATGAAAATAAATTGTTGAATATATTTGGAACAGATACATTAGCGCATATTATGGATTGGAAGACTTTGAGCTAGCTAAGACCCTTAAAAGGCCTTTATGTGTTTAACTATATAAACATTTATTAATGAAGTAACCAGTATTATAATATGATGGTAAATAACATAGGTAAACCATGTATTTACTGTTTAATATATTTGTTTGTTAGTTGATTTTAACTTTCAAGAAATTAGAAAGAATAACATTAAATATCATGCAAACGACAATTAATAGCAAAGTTTAAATTACTAACGCAACAGCACATTGTATAAGTATAAGCGTTAACTATTTATTTGTTTTTTATACCTATTGTTTAAACCCATTATCATTGAAACCGGTGGTTGTAAACGATTATAAATATTTAATATGCAATTTTTTTTTCAAACATAATTTGTAAACAAATATTTATAATTGTTATGAATTATTAAATACCACAAAAATAAATCATATGATTTTATTTAATATGAAAATAATCTTTAAAAAATTAATTGATCAATTGAATATTGACTTTATATGCATATTTGTATTAATTGTTTTGAAAACTGTAATAATAAACATGTAAAAAGTTCAATAAGTATGAAAAAAATACCACTAAAATATACTAAAAAAATAGAGTTATTACTGGTTGGTTGTAAAATATGAACATAATTTTATTCATAAAAACTTTTCAATAAAAAGTTGAAAGTCGAATTGTAAATTTTACATATAAAAAATTAGTATATTTTGTAGGTGTGAAGATATCACATATAGATATTATCATCATATACTAATATAATAATGTATATTTATAATAGTATATATTCACAAGAAAATAAATGCTAAATACACTATTATAGTCAATGATGAAAGAATAATAATAAATTTGCATATAAATTTTGAGATAAATTACTTAAATGGACTAATATTTTAGTAATAAACATGAATTAATACGATATTTTGAAAAGAAAAAAAACTTTTTTACGATCAGTTGTAATAATTGTATATTTGTATAAAATTTAAATTGGTACTTAAGCCAAAAATATGTAAAACCTGTTTATTAAATTAACGCGTGACTTTGGTGCAACCAAATATAAAATAGTTTGCGTGTTTAATAAATTTATTTCATAGATCACTCTAATATTTTATAAATTATGTAAAATACGTAATATAATATCAAATTATTCGTAAATCGTGTTTATATATTTATATCATATATATATTTTAGATTTTATAAATGTATTATAAGAAAGTTCATAATATAAGGTACAATTATAAATTTATGGAAAACTGTTTTATTATATCCATATTATTATTATAAATTAGAATAATGAATATGTGATTTTACTTGTACTGTAATCATAAATCATTGTAGCCAATTATAAATTATAATGTTCACGTATTAAGGTAATGAAGTATTTAAACTTCAAAATACATTTCCAGTTATATGAAGAAAAAAAACACGTAACATTACCGTTATCGTTTATGAGTTTAATATTATTTAAATACGTAATTTGTAGTATATAATGATGTAAAAATACTGTATTTTATATAATTGCATTTGTTTAATCATGTATAGTATTAATATACAGTAGTAAGAACGTGTATAACAATATAGTATTTTACAAAAACCTTTAAGAAGTTTACATAATGGTATTATCATTTTAAATTCACTACCTGAAAAACTTAAATATTTATTGAAATTTATCAATTAATAATAATAAAATTTCAATTAAATATTGTATATTATGATATATTACAGTTATTATGTTGTAGGTTGTAGGTAATTTATACTTTGTTTCATTCTGATGGAATTTTAGTAAACTTATAATTTGGTTAGTGATAATGTAGCATTTTTCTAGTACCTTTATTATCATTATATTCTAATAACCTTAATATATATAAATAAAAAAATTGCTCAAAACGCAACTTGATTTTAGAAAAACTGAATAGGTTCCACTTATGCATACTTAATTTTTAATAAAAAAATAATAGATGATTAATAAGTATAACAAATAAATATAATTTATGAAATGTTTTACTTAAACGGTGTTTTTTTTTAGGAACTTTAATTTTTATTGTTAACTATTCAAAAGAAAGATATAAATAAAATACCACAAAATAATCATATTAATAAATAATAACAAAGGTAATTTTTATCCTTTCTAAATACACTTTTTTTTTTATACTTGTAACATACAATATTAAGTTTAATCATTCAATACATGACATATAAATATATAATATGATATAAAATTACAATTTACAATTCATATTAATATTTACTGGTAGTATCTTTTTAAAAATATGTATAATATAATAGTACTTAGCTCAAATAATTTTTACGTCAACTGTATAATTGCCCATTGGTCTAGATTTGATTAGTTGTGTTTTAATTTAAAAATTAATACACATTACACTAGCTTGTATGTATATTATATTTTATTCAAGATTTTTATTAAAATTAAAACTATTCGACTTTTTTATTTTTATTTTACAATTACAAATTCTAGAATTAGTAGAATATATCCTCAAAACGTAAATTTATAAATTTATCAAAAATCATATTCAATTCAGTCGTTATACTCATGGAAATAAATTTAAATATATTTTTCATTAAATAAACATTTCTTTCTAAAAGATACGAGTATACTACTTATTTTTTTTACATTTTAATATTATTTCATGTCTATTTCAAAACTATTGTTTACAATCATTGATAAAAACTTATTATAAGATATTGAAAACCATATTTTAAATATTTAGTCAGCTAATATTATATAAATATCCGAATAATGAATAGAGTTTAGATACATAAAATTTTTTTGTTTTTAAAAAAATATGGATTTTTTCTTATTCTGGTTCATTGATTCTATAGCATTCAATAGTTTAGAAATAATTTATTTTTAGTGCAATATTTTATTTGTAATAGTGTATACTAAAATACTGTAAAACATAGGAAGCCATAGCATTTATTTTAGACCATACAAGACATGTGGATATTGATACGATACCACAGGAGTAGCAAAAATCTAGAATATATAACAAAGTAAATTGGGATTGCACTGGTTCAGCAGAGTATCGTATGTCTGAGCATTATAATCTTCTTCATAATAAACTACTCTGCCAGATAACATCTTCACCAATACCAGTTTTCATTCTCAAGGTATACTTGGTCAAAACTTCACTTTAAGAATGAATTTCTGAACTCGTTTGCAACAACAACAAAAAATTCATATTATTATAGCCCTACAAGCTTATATTATTAAAATTGATATATCAACCAAATTAACATAATATTAAATGTACTGTGACTGGTGTGACTTACAACTGAATGATATCGTTTTATATTACAATTTTTACACAGATTTATTCACGCATTAAAATATAATGACGTTTAAGTGTTTAAGCTTTCCGTACCGGTACCTGTATTCAAATTGTATAACAAATCAACGAAACAATCATTAATAGAAGGTAGATGTAAGATACTGAGTGTTTTTTTTTTTTTTTGCTTATTAAATTATAAAGCGAAAAGTAATAACTGATTGTAAATTTGATACCAAATAGTGATGATAATAGTATGAATATATAAGATAACTTGTATTTTTTGCCTTATATAGATAGTTATAAATATATACATATTATATTATGAATTAATATTCAATACATTAATTTATTAATGAATAATTAATAATAAATAATAATACATCTAGTACCAAATTGCTTATTGTATTCAGTACCTACTCATAACCAACTAATTATGTTTAAACGTTCCAACTAGGTTAGATATGTATAACTGGAATAGGTTGAAATTTCTGTGTAATTAAGTTTTGCAAAATATACAAATCATTTTATTGTAACGTGCTGTACAATAGCTACGTAACATTATGATA